GGCCCGTAGGCGCGCCCCGCCCCACCCCGCGCCACTCGCACGGTGAGACTATCCCCGACGCGGGTCAATATTGTGATTTTCCTCACGTAGGCTACAGAGGCAAGAGAGCTTCTGCTGCTGCCGCCACTGTTTGAAAAAGAAACTACAAACAAAAGTGGGATATCGATATTTATTAATCGACGAGAGGCTACATTATCTCGGCCGGAAACTGGCAGCGAATCGGTGATACCGGCGCGTTTCAGGGCCCCAGATGAGAGGGGGGGGGGGGGCTAGCCGAGGTGTGGTGCAAACTGCAAAGGTTTATCATTTTTCTCTTTCATTGATTTCAGGATGCACGTGATAGCAACAATCATTTGGCAATCGCCATCGTCACGTGTAAAAACGAAATTTGGCCACTGGAGGACGTAACCCTCAGCAGCAAGGAGATAAGCGGAGGCGATAACGACAAATCGCAACGTCAGGCCGTCGTCGGCGTTGGCCCGTCAACGGGCGTCCATGCAATGGGCCTGGCGATAAACAGGGATAAACAAGGTAAGCCAGCTCCTCTGCACCGCGACGTAGCGCCCGAGGGGTCGTCCAGAAACCACGTCCGTTCTTATTCTCCAACATGACGTGCGCACGGCGCCTGCGAGACTCGGGATAGGCCACCCCGCAGTGCACGCGTGCACTCCAGTCGAGATGTTGCCTACCCGCCAGGCGCTGAAGAGAGCAGTCACATCGGCTGAATTTCGCAGTTTCGTAACGGCGTACTTTCTAGACGACACCCGCGGGGCGCGAGTTAGGCGTACTTTCATTTAAAATCAAGTCCGAATAAGTCGGCTGGTGATGACGAACACGAATGGGATGAGCTCGGTGGTGATTGTCCGCGTGTGTAAGTACCTGACGGTGATGACGGCGTCCTTATTGGAGGGTTGCTGCTGCTGCTGCTTGGGCCCGGGCGCCGCCCTGGTCAGCAGCATCTTGCGCATGAACATGGCGGGGCGGCGGCGCGCCCGGGTTACACCATACTCTCTTATCGGCCACACGCACACACACACACACACACACTGGGAGCAGCAACACACACACACACACACACACACGTGCGCGAGCAGTGCGCGACCTCCAGTAAGGAGGTGAGCTGGGGTGTCCTTCGCAGCGTCCACACACACCACACAACACTACACTTTATTCAGCGAACAGCTCCAAGACGTCGGTACAGTAGAATGTTCCAGCGTGGCGCGCCTATGGAGGGGGAGGCCGCCGCCGCCACCGCGCCGCTGGAGCGCCGGAGTGGAGAGTGCGCGCCTGGCGAGCGCTCGCGAGGGCGTTTGGAAAGTATGTCACAACAAGGAGCTGTATCCTCAGCCGCCTGCCTTGGCGATAGTGATTACTTGGTACTTGATCACGCTGGTGCACTCCACTTGGTTCACCAACACTATCACGACGTCACACATCCCACAGCAGAACGATCATATGTTTTCCTCGCGACAAAGGAAGGAGCAACGATTGCAGTGCCAGTCACGACCTCGACATCCCTTTCCTGCGTGCGTAACAGGCGCGATTTTTGGCAAATCGGACGCCAGAAAGTGGCGATAATCGCGCGCGCGCGCTCCACGATGATAATCCCACGCGCGGACAGCACGCGAAATATCAAATGGATTCGCGCGGATCCGCGATCCTCGATCCGCGATCCCAGACTGAACGGGACGCGCGTTGCGCCGCCGCGGAGCCGCCGCCGGAGCGCGGGCCAGCAGGCGGACGGACCGACGGACAGGTAGGCGTGCCGGAGCCCGTGTGGAGCCAGCGCGGCGAGCGGACGAACGGGCGGAGGGGGAGCAGCGCGCGGAGCACCGCGGCTACATACCGCACGCGAAACCACTCTACTCTGCGCGCGAAAAAAAAATGAAATTATATTTTTGCGGAGTAATGAGTTGTAGTGGTAGCTCTCTCCTGAGCAGCCGGTCTTCCTCCCTACATCTTGCGGCTGGCCGGCCGAGCAGGACGGGCGTGCGCACGGCGCGCACTGAGAAAAAAGAATTACCTGTGCAGCTAAAACTGAGCTATATTATTATGGATGCCTAAATTTTGGAGCTGTGTAGCTAAAAATTAGCGACATAGTTAAACTTTTTGCTCTAGAATAAAGTTTTTAGTTGTACAGATAACTTTTTAGTTGTATTGCCCCAAAAGTTAGCTATCCATACATACCAATTTTTTTAGCTACAAGGGTAAGTCTTTTTCTGAGTGCGGGCGTGCGATGCGAGGGAGATCAGTGTCCATATGGGCCAATGCCGGAGTAGCCTATAGCGATATGCCGGCTGCGTAGGCTGTCACTGCGGGGTTGCAGGCAGGGTGCCGCTCGGAGCAGGGCATTCCCCACGCGGGCACTGGGGGACTGGAACAGGACTGGAACACCCCGCACGAGAGGCGGGCGCGCGCGATCAATATACGAAAAGAGGGAAAATGGAATAGCGGCACAGGGAAAACCGCGAGAGGTCGCGATACCGACGCGAGCAGCCGTCGGTCGCCGTCCGCGTAGCACGCAAAGGGGGAGGGAAGAGGGAAGTCCCGGAGAGCACGCCCCCACTCTGTTGGGCACGAGGCTGGGGGGCACACATGCATCACGGTAAAAACAATGGCTGATTTTTTGAGCAAAGGAAAGAGGGAAAACTTTCAGAAACTCCCATAGTTTGAGGAAAACTCCTCAGAATTTGAGGATATGTCATCAAAAATTAGGGAAATTCCCACATTGCACGAAGAAACTTACTCAAAAGTATGAGGAGTTTTCCATAAATTATGGGAGTTCCTTAGAGTTTTCCCTTTCTTCTCTAAAAATCTTAAAGTTAGACTTTTTTACTGTGATTAGAGAATGCAAGTTAATTGCTGAGGTAATTATTGGAATATCCGGGAAATTCTCTGCCCTCTATACTTGATTCGAGCACCGGCTTTTCTGGGTGTACTGTACTGAGGTACAGCGGGCTCATCGAGCCGTGGCGGCCAGGCCGCCGGGCCGCCGGGCCGCGCTGCTGGCCGGCAGGCGAGGCCTCCACATACACATCGTTTTACTTTACGCTTTGAAGGGGGCGTCCTTTAACGACGTGCGCGTGATATGTGGAGTGGTACTCGACGGCCCCCCGCCGCCGCCGCTCCCCTCCCCGTTTGCGTTTTGCGGCGCGGCGTGTGGCGGGCGCGCGCGCGGAACCCTGCGCATTTCTAATGATGGCGTAATCTTTCGGATCAGGACGGGCCAGTGACCCCCCTCCCCTTCCTCCTACTTCTTATACCTCCCCGCCCCTGCCCCATATCACTCCACTCGGCAGGCAGGTGTCTTGCGCCGCGCCTAACAACTTCGGAGGCCGCTGCCCCTCGGCGGCAGCGGCCATAGCTCCAGCAGGTGCTGTGTGCTCCCGCCCGCAGGTGCTGGAGAGGCCCCTGGACCCCCCTCCCCCCACCTGGCGTACGCCCCTCACGTCACGGTCCGTCGCCACACCGCGCCACGCTACGCCACGCCACGCCACGCCACGCCACGCCACGGAGGGCAGCGACATTCTAATTGAAAGCGCATCCGCGTGCGCCGGAGCCTGCCTCCCCGGCAAACAAATACTTTCGCGATAAAAATTAACGAGAAATGAACTGAGGTCGTCACTTCGGACGCGTATGACAACGTGTCAATGTAAAAAGTAAACGTTTGTTGACCCTGCGGGCGACGACGAGACGGGGCGACCGAGGAGGAGGAGAGACGGGAGAGCGGTGCGATTGGGAGGGGGAAAGGAGAGGGGGGGGGGCGCACACACTGCAGCAGCTGCTGCTGCCTCTGAGGAGAGGGCAGACGGACAAGACAGGTTCAAACCTGCAGCCCAGATAAGTGTGCTCGCCATGGCCCGCGTCTTCTTGTTCTTGGGTCGCGATAATCTCTTCTTCTTGCAAACGAAGCAAAACATCGGCGGCGGCGGCATCCCGAGAAACAGTTCCGATAAAAAGAGGGCCCCTCCTCCTTCCCTGCCGCACCGGCCGATGTGAAGGCCTACTCAACGGGACCGGCTAGGATTAGCCAATGGCTGCCCAGAAGGGACCTGTCCCGCAAGAAAGTAACCGATCTTTCTTGTAAAACTCTTTCGTCTATTGTATGACCGCGTACTTTGTTAAGTACCACGTTAGCAGCAGCAGGTCCAGCGCTGAGAGCAAACGCATAGCACCCGTTTAGAGCCATGCCCAAGTCGGGATAATTGAGAATTAGAGAGAAACGTTTAGTGGTCGGTAAGAAATATTTTTCGCAGTGTAGTGTATCCGTAACTGACGTGAGACCTGTGACCTGCGTCGGACATCCCCGTCAACGGCCGTGGCGCCGAGTTGGGCGGGGAAAGAGAAGGGGGTAGAGGGCGCGGCGCGTCCTGCTCCTCATCGGGATGCCCCGAAGGAACGCCCTGCACGCCCCGCCACGCCCCGCCTTAGGCATACGGCATCACACACGGCGACGGCGTGGACCCTGGGCAGCAAGGGGATACCCGCTGGCAGGCGTCCAAAGGCCGGGCCGGCGTCGACGGCCACCTGACGTATCACGGTGACCTGCGTGCTGCGTGCCCCTGCCCGGGGTCGCTTCCGCGTTGGCCGCGAGTCCCTCCACCTCCACGTCGAGTACGTCGAGCGCGTGTTCGACGAGCAGGTCACACCGCGGGGGCCGGCGGGCCACTGGGCCGTCCCGGGCGCGGCAGGGCGATAACGAGCGGCCGGTGAGCGAGGCGCGCTTGCGTTGATCGCCACTTTGCGGTGCCCAGCGAAGGGCGTGGCGGGGCGGGGTGGAGCGGGGCGGGG